CTCTCTCTCACCCCCTCTCTCTCTTCTCTCTCTCACCCCCTCTCTCTCCTGTCTCTCTCTCTCTCACCCCTCTCTCTCTATCTCTCTCACCCCCTCTCTCTCTATCTCTCTCACCCCCTCTCTCTCTCTCTCTCTCTCTCTCACCCTCTCTCTCTATCTCTCTCCACCCCCTCTCTCTCTATCTCTCTCTCACCCCCTCTCTCTCTATCTCTCTCACCCCCTCTCTCTCTCATCTCTCTCTATCTCTCTCACCCCCTCTCTCTCTATCTCTCTCACCCCTCTCTCTCTATCTCTCTCACCCCTCTCTCTATCTCTTCTCTCTCCTCTCCTCTCTCTAGATCTCTCTTCTCTCTCTCTCACCCCCTCTCTCTAGATCTCTCTCCCCCCTCTCTCTAGATCTCTCTCACCCCCTCTCTCTAGATCTCTCTCACCCCCTCTCTCTAGATCTCTCTCACCCCCTCTCTCTAGATCTCTCTCACCCCTCTCTCTAGATCTCTCTCACCCCCTCTCTCTAGATCTCTCTCACCCCCTCTCTCTAGATCTCTCTCACCCCCTCTCTCTCTATCTCTCTCACCCCCTCTCTCTCTCTCTCTCTCACCCCCTCTCTCTCTATCTCTCTCACCCCTCTCTCTCTATCTCTCTCACCCCCTCTCTCTCCATCTCTCTCACCCCCTCTCACTCTGCACCCACACTCTACACTCCACATGCACATTCACTTCATGCTTACTTCACATCCTTACACCTATCTTTACTCCCATTCTCATTCACTCACTCATGCACACTCTCTCATTCACTCACTCACTCACTCACACTCATGCTCACTCACTCACTCTCACTCTAATTCTAAATCATACCCACATGCACATTCACTTCATATTCACCCTCACTCTCCTGCTCACTTTCCTCCTTACTCCTATTCTTATTCCCAATTCCATTCCAACTACCATACACGCCTCTAACTCCCTCTCCTGTTTCCATTATAAGTTATATGATGCCAATTTCATTAGTTTTGGAGCATACATTACAGACGATAAATACATGCACATGCACATGCACATGAACGCACATGCACCACACACACACACACACACACACACACACACACACACACACACACACACACACACACACACACACACACACACACACACACACACACACACACACACACACACACATATACACCAAATAATCATACTCACTTTTTCCGTAGCTCGTTTAGTTGGTTGGCACAAGATGCTTTCTCTGAGAGGTCATGCTCTTGCTCTTCGACCCGATCAAGCAACTCCTTGACCTGCATCAGATTATAGACTTCAGGAAAAAATAAAAATCAAAGTTTCAACACTGAATTTTAACTGTAATCGAAACTATATAATTTTGGTGACTAGTCAGTGATTCATGTAGATTACAAGATATTGATATTTACCATATAACAACATAATCTAGCTACAGGACTAAAATTAGGATTCGAAAGGCATATAACAGCACAATTTAGGCTACAGCACTGTAATCATGATTCAAAAGGTTTTGCTGTAATTTGTAATAAGCACTTCATCACATCAATCCTAGAGGTGATACATACTTTTACCAAAATAATAATAATAATAATAATAAAAACTAATAATAACAACAACAACAAAATAGATGCCTGGTCACCTTTCAACTAGAAGTTTAAATCACGTTGGAAAAGAGAAAGCAGTAAGACAAAAAGACCAACCGAATAACCTCAGTCACACCTCCCATGCTTGGTTGCAAAAGATAACCCGAAAAAAATAATGCTCCCTTAATTTCAGAATAATGTAGAGGATTGCATCACAAGTATCTTTTAAAGGGTTTATATAAAAAAGGAAGAAAACCCTTCATGCTATCTCTCTTAAAGTTGACCAAGTTACACCTGAGACAAGATCATATATTACTTCTCTTTTTCAAGTATATATATAAAATTGGACTCACCATCATTAACAAGATAATCTCACTGAAGAGGAAGAAATAAATGCTATGATAAACCTTATGCAGAACTTGAATCTTGTAACATACCTCTCAGAATAAGTCAATTTCCTTTTGTGATTACTCTTATTAGTATTTTCATACATCTACATGCAAAAGTAGCACAAATTGTGATAAATTACATAAAACAAAAACACAGTTGCGATTGAATCTAAACATGTGGTTATTTTCTACTTAACAATTACAAAAATATGTACTAAGATATCTACAAGAATATGATATTTACATGAACCTTGTAAACACCATTATTTCGCTCTTTAGCTCTTTCGATTAAACCCCAAACAATCATTAGCATTTCTGCAGATAAACTTTGGAGCTCTGAATTCCGACAGCATTTACCTGGTTCTCCAGACTGGCCACTCTATGCCGCAGGCTCTGGGCATCTGAGTTCATCTCCTCCTTGTCTCGCCTCAGCTTATCAACCTCACGCTCGGACCTGTCCAAATCACCTTCGCATACCTCCAATTTTTTGCGGAGTCGTGTGAGGTCGGCC